CCCCAAAACCCCAAAACCCCAAAACCCCAAAACCCCAACAAGTTATTCATGATTGGGTATAAAAGTAGTAAATCAGATTTTATATAAATAAATTAAAAACATTGATGAATACGTTCAAATTTACTATTACTGGAGCTGAAAATATTTCAGTCCAACTCCCAGCCACTCTTGGTGAGGAGAGCCTGACTAAGAAGAGTATCAAGGCGCAACTCCATATCCCTGAGGAAGATGATTTTGATATCTTTGATGAAAATAACTGCTTAATAGGAGATTTCGAAGTTACTCTCATATCTAGCAAAGTAAAAGGTACTTTCAGAATCTGAATTAAAAATAAGCTATCTGAAAATGATTCAGATTTACTACCCAATCGAGAGAATGCAATCAGCACTTTAATGGATACTGTATCTACAAAGAAATATGTATGCGTTTCAGCAAAGTGTAGGAAGACTTACAATCTATGCAGCGACTTATATGAACACTATAAAGTGCACTTTCAGAACAAACCATTCAAATGTTCAGCTGTAGGATGCAAGAAAAGCTTCATGACTCAGTTCCAACTGAACACCCATCTCTCTGTTCATCAGGTTGAGAAGCCTTATAAATGTACTTACCCTGGGTGTAACAAGAGTTATGCCAAGAACTGCCGTCTCACAGTTCATATGAGGTCTCATGATGGAGTAAAGCCATTCTTATGTCCATATGAAAATTGTGGTAAAAGATTCTCTGAAAAGGGAAATTTGAAAACTCATATCAGGACTCATACAGGGGAGAAGCCTTACTTTTGCACTCATTGGGGATGCAAAAAAAGATTCAGCACTCAAGGCCATCTTATTGACCATATCAGAGGTCATTCAGGAGTTAAACCATTTCCTTGCAGTCTCTGCTCAAAAGCCTTCATGAGAGCTAGTACTTTGAAGGTGCACATGAGAGATCATACCGGTGAGAGACCTTACCCATGCACTATCTGCCCCAAGATGTTCAAAGAAGCTAGATCTTTGAGAGCTCACATGAAGACCCATAAGAATTCAACCTGTATTCAAAGTTCTAAAAATATATGAAGTAAAACTATTTCTCAAACTGATGAGATAAAGAACTATAAACAACTCAAAGCTTCTTCTGAAGTCACCTCGTTGTTGCTTTCAGGCGATCATAGCACCTTCGAAATGCAAAGTTACTCAAAAACCTCTCCTGAGCAAGTTATGAGGGTTGAAAATTTGGGATCAAATCCATTGACTCCAGTTATCCAAGATTTCAAACACTCTGAGACAATTCCATCTAACTTTCTCCAGGACTTCTGTTTATGTGGCTTGGATAGAGAGACTCTAACCCAGTTTGCAGTGAATGGTAAGCAACTTGCGATTATTTTGCTCATATCTTTGCTTTAGTTTGCTTTCTTCAAACAATTTTCACCTAATACTTTTTCAAAAATCTTATTCCTAGAGGATGGTAGATTTCTATTATCCTGCTTCTCAAAGTTAGTGCTGTCTCACCGAGAAAATTAAATTCTTGCTTATTTATTGGGAAAGATTTTCTTAGATAAGGCAGCTATGTCACTCTTTTTGCACTCAAGAGGTGCTGTAATATGCTAATGTACTTTTAAACGAAGATAAAGTTCCGAAATGAAGCTTAAAATTTCTTAGTGTTTGAAAAATCACATGTATAACTTATTTTAATTCTTTATTTAGCAGTAAATGAGCAACATGAAGGATTCTCATTCCGAAAGTTTCAAACCTGCAATCAAATTGGCTCCGATTATCCAAGCTATGATCAATTCTGTGAAGGTAAGCAATATGATACATCTTCATTAGCCCATTAGAATAGAGAGGAGGATTACCACCTTGATAGATTATGTGAAACTAACTAACAAATTTGAAACGGCAAAGGTCTAGAAATAAATTATACTCCAGACTTCACTTGTCACAACTTCTCCACTTTTTTGAAAATTTCTTAAATAAGACTGTCCCTCTTAATGTTATTGGTCAACAGTTTTTGCTAAGCACAGATATTTTAAGTTTACTAATTATTGGGAATAAAGTTTACTCTCTTTGAGAATATGACTAACTTTATTTATAGATATGTCAGCCGACTGGGCAAACCAGAAGAACATGCCAGCTTTAAATATTCTCTCAGAGCAGCTTTATTCAAACCTATCCTATAATTCCTAATAACTAATATTTGATTTGATAAACCATCTTTTTCAAACTCTTTTAGAAATTTCAGACTTTACTCTCTTTTGAACCCTCCTATTTCATAATGGGAACAAAATTCTGAATTATTCACTTCCACAAAGAAGGTTTATGCTAGTTCTTTAAAACTTGCTTTATTATTCAAAAATATTAATTTGCAGGTTTGGAAAATATTTATGAGGGGAGCCAAAAGAGGTTGCCTTTACAAGTCTTGATTCCCTGAATAAAGTAACAAAGGTTTAGCCATTTGTCTGTTGGTAAAAGCTCGTATTTCAAAATTAATAGAATTATAGTGAACATACACTCTGGTAGTATTATATGAAATTCCAGCTAGCAAAATTTGAAGATGCCCTATTTACCCTAGATATAGTTTGAAAGCTAAAACCCTCTCATTAGATAGATATTCCCCATGAAATTAGATTTTCCTCTTACCTTTGATAAGGAGAAATTATTCATACAACTTTTCAGAAATTTTCAGAAATAACCAAGTGATTTCAATCAGTTAGAAATTGAAGAGAGTTGTCCAGAAATAGTGAGGGCGATATAATATTAGCTTATGAGGCTCATACAATTGATCTGTTACAAGTGATGCAGTGGCAAGGATACAGTATTGGAATGATCCTCTGAAGTCCTCTTTTAGATTTAGTAGAGTAGATTTTGATAGTGGAAAATTTCAGAGGAAACAAAGTGAAATATTCTTCATGGTTCTTAGAAATAAACCAACTTTTTATCAGATATATAAGAGCTTTCAGAAAGCATATTAAAAATATATAGACTCTAACAAGTCTAGCAGTGGTAAGCTATGTAATCCAGAAATATCTCTTTCTCTTCTTCGAATGAAAGCTAATAAACATGGCTAAGGAACAAAGGCCTCGGGCATACTATTGAAACTTTCCTTCCTAGGAGCTTCTAACTCTATCTAAAAGAAATAGCCTCTCTTTCTCTTGTTTTTTTCACGCTGCATTTCAAGTTCCATATCATAGCTTTCTAAATTTTCGAAATTTTTCAAAACTGGTATATAAAACTAGTGACATCTTAGCTCTGATCCGTTGTTGTCTGTTTCTCTAGCCATGCCGTCTTCAATAGCTTAAGATTTGGAAATATAGAACTGGATTTCTCCCAAGTGTGAAGATTCTAATAAGAGAATAACTTATTTTTTAATGTTGGATTTACACTGTATTATAGAGACTTTTTTAAGAATTTAGAGACTCATTTTCCATGATGCCTTAACTTGGTACAGAGAGGTAAGTTTCAGTAATAGTCAGAGAAAATAAGCCCATCGACTTTGAAAATTCCTCTTTGATTGATTTAGTCATTATGGGGTTGATTAAGACTTTGGGTAATCACTTCTTGTGGTTGAAGTATTAGTGTTGCTTAATTTACTAATTCTTAAGTACCTATCATAAACCAGAATTAAGAGGTAATTATAGTGCTTAGACTGCCACACTCTAGATGGCTGGGAAGTATACCCCTGACATGCCTCAGGCCATTCAACGAGATTTTAAAGGTCTGTGATTAGCCTCGAGCTAGACTCTTTTGTAATTCATGGGAGATTACTGATTTTAGTAGTGTTTCCGATAATTATGATTAGTACTAGAGTAACTTCAACCTCAAGTGACTCTAGTGGGGTTTTGGGGTTTTGGGGTTTTGGGGTTTTGGGGTTTTGGGGTTTTGGGG